GGAGACATAGTTTTGAATAGTTTAGAGCCTACAATGATATCAGTTAATGATAGTGTTGTATATACACTTACTCTTAATTTCTTTTCATTGCAAGCATCACAAGTGGGAGAATATGTTTGTGGAGCTTCATTGATTGATAGTACTGATACTATTATCTTAACATCAAACTATACTATATCTGTACAACGTAAGTATTTAATAATTTACACTATAGTTATGTTTTTGTTCATACAATGATAGTACCTACCCCTGTGGTCACAACTAGCCTCAATACAACAGGACGTATTTTTGAGAGCAATGACATTCAGTTATTGTGTATTGTCACTATTACTCCACTGGATGTTAATCAAACTGTTAACATTAGTTGGTTTGGACCTAATGGACTCATTACAATGAATGATACTCGACACGACATGAGTACTAGAATGATCAACTCAGCTAATTTTGAAAGTAGTTTAACATTCACTGCATCTCTATCAGATAATGGAACTGATTACTATTGTACTGCTAGTGTTAAACTTGCTAGTGATGTGAATGAACTAATAGTACCAACTACTGCTAGAGCAACTAATTCTACTGTTATTGTTGAAAGTAAGTTTTAATATTGTAATTGCATGCATGCATATTATAGACCTGTTGTATGCGTAATAATTGCTATGATTATTTTTCTCCTAGTTGTACCACTACCAATGATTTCTTTCAATGATGTTGGTATTCCAGTAACAGGAGATTCATTCCAGTTAGTGTGTACTGGAACTGCACCAGCTAATGTATCAAGTATTGCTACTGTTAGTGTTCAATGGCTCCTTAATGGTACTGTGTTTACTAATGATACACTGGAAGGAGTCACTGTTACTAATAGTGGGTCTATGGCCACATTATCATTCAGTTCTCTTAATGCTTCTACTCATGAAAGAGATGATTATACTTGTGTAGCTACTCTTAGTATTCCTGATGTACCAACAACTGAAACAGCAAGCATTATGCATAGACTTCAGACATTAAGTATGTACATGTGTAAGTAAATGTTTGTTTATTTCAATTCCATCCTAGCTAATCCTATTGTGTCCATATTTTCAAGTCAACCTGTGTTTGCTGGTCAGTTGTATTCATTAAACTGTACTGTCACAATAGCAGCTGGAGATCTCAATATAACATGGCTTGATGGCAGTGGAAATGAACTGACAGAAGGAAATGGAATAAGTTTTAATTTAATAACTATTTCTGATACTGTACAAGGATACAATTTGATATTTAATTTACTGGACTATTCAGATATTGGAGTATATACTTGCCAAGCTAGGCTTACTATTGATAGAGGTGTTGATCTACTTTATGGAAATGGTTTTGCTAATACAACTGTTGGCATAAAAAGTAAGTTGAATTTATTGTTAAATGTACATGTATTTCAATTTGTTCTTCTATGTTTCAGTACCATTACCACAAGTATCTATATTTCCTGATGGTAATTCTCCTTTTATTCGTGGAACTATTAGAACTGTTAACTGTTCTATTGTTTTCACTCCTCCTTTACCTACTAATCCTAATGTCTCATTTACTCTCTTCAAAGATGGTGCTCAAGTATCATTTGAGAACAATTCCAGAGTAATAGCAGTTCAGATTGGAACTACTGGTGCTCTTACCTTTCAACCACTCAATTTCTCTGATGCTGGTAACTATACATGTACTGCTACAGTCAAAGATAGTGCTAATAATCCATTAATAATATCAAGTAGTGCTACTGATGAATACATTGCTACTATACCAGGTAACATGCTTTAATATAAATCATTGATTAAGATGTGTATTTAATTTTATAGCTATTCCTGTTCCTAATATCATATTCACTACTACTACTGGTAGATCACTGGGAGAGAGTTTAACTCTTAATTGTACAGTTGATGTGCTAGATAACCTGTACAA